GCAAGATTAGCAGATCAAGCGAAGCAGGGAGACCGGAAGGTTCCATAAGCATTACAGCAGGAGCCAGTTCACAAGCCGATGAGCGATGTCGCACACTAGAGCAGAGCGTCGTGAGCTTTTACACTGATTGGCAGATCCCAGAAGGACATAGACATAGGAGGTTTACTGCCTCTGTCATTGTCTGATCTATCTGTGACGGTTGTCCGATGTCAGCATCATGACTCAAGCGTGTAATAATCATTCAAAAGTGGACCGCACCGTGTTGATGCAGCAACATCATCTGGACTGGAGTTCCTGCTCTAATCGAAGACAGTGTCCTTGCGGTGAGATCAAAGTCTTTCTATTTAAAAGGAAAGATTTGATGTGCAGATTTTCATTGGACCACATATTTGTAGGGTTAAGAAGCCCCCGAAGATATTTTAATGGATGGATATTAAACAAGACAAATGTGTGCGTTTCCCAAGCTGCCTGTAAGATTTACAGTATTTTTGCCCTCTTTTAATTTCTTAAAGTACCTTGTGATGTAAGCACTTTTCAGCCAGTGACGCATGCCAAATACACCAGCACATGAAGCTTCCTTCTGCAGACAGGTGCAAAATATTCAATATACTCAAAGGAACTTCACAATATTCCATTATGTACGCCAAGAACTCAAGAATCAAACATGACAATGAACAAATGAGAGAAATACAATCAAATTAATACAGTGCAGCTGCTTCATGCAAATGTCATTATGCACCTAATGTATTCAAGGCCATATCATTAACTCCAGCGTTTTAGCAGAACATTTAATTTGACACTGATGTCTCGGAAACTGTCTCAGCGTGTGACATATCTGACTGAGTGTAATGCAATGTGGCATATATTTCTGCTCGAGAGAACACACCTGTCAGAGAAATATTTTCTCATATAGAGCAGGTGCATAATAACAGTCCGAACACAAAGCTAGCACACAAGCTGAAGAGATCTGTTGTGACCTGAGGGAAAGATCAGCTAGTCCACGCAAAGCTGCCATCTCAGAGCCAAGCCAAAATCTCCACAAAAACGAATCTCCGTTGACATCAAAGAGAGTGAGAAAAAAAAAAAAGAAAAAGAAAAAACTCTGAATCGTATGAGCCATTTCGGGTAGCACATAAATTGAGGGCATGGTGGTTAATTAGTTGGTCTTATATAAACTGTTTTATATAAACCTTGATTTGGAGATTAAAACTGGAATATTTGGAAATGTGTCTTGTGTGTTGTCTATCTAACTTCCATCATCTAGATGTGACGATCAGCAGCCGTGGTGCCCTCGAGAGCCACTAGAGGGCACCCTCTCCCCATGTTTGTTTCCCCATGGACTCTTTGTGTTTCATTATGTTCAGCTGTGTTTCATTATTGGTTATTGAGTTCCTTATTTAAGCCTGAGTTTTCCCTGTGTCCCTTGCGAAGTCTTGTTACCCTGTAAGCGTACAATTCCGAGCGTTATTCCCTGTTCTGTGTCTCCGTGTTTCCCTGGACTCTTGACCCTTGCCTGTTTCCTGGACTGCTCTCGAACCTGTGCTGCCTGCCTCGACCATTGCCTGTTTAGACCACGAGTTTCCGGATTGCCCCTTTGTTTAAGTGTTTGCCTGTTTTCATGTCTGCCTGTTTTAATAAAGTGCTGCACATGGATCCGACCGTCTCTGTCCGTACGTTACAGAAGACTTCGCCAAACGAGGATCCAGCAGACTTTCTGCATCTATCCGCCGTGGTCAAGACCCGCTCTTCAATGCTAGCCTCTCATAGTTCTCAGCTGGCGAGACTAACTTCTCTCCTCGAGGAACTAGCTAGCTCCGTGCAATCATGGTCTCCGCAGAGCTCAAGCACAGCGGCTAATCAAGCCCAAACCCCCGCTGCACCTGTTCCACCGCAACCCAGTGTGAGTACCGCATGCAGTAATTCCAGTACGCCGTTTCCCGAGAAGTTTAATGGCTCACCTGAAGCGTGTGAAGGATTTCTGCAGCAGTGCAGCTGGTACATGAGTCATCAGCCCCAGTTATACGCCTCGGATATCGACCGCGTTTCTTTCATCTGCTCACTGTTAACTGGAAAGGCTCTGGAGTGGGCAGGCACGTTTTGGGAACCAGGTGGGATGTCGTTTCCTTCTTTCGACGTGTTTACCGCCCTGTTCAGAAAGGCTTTTGAACTCCCCGCAGAAAAGGAGGGTCTCGAGGAACTGCTCTTTTCCCTGCGCCGGGGAGGTTCGTATGCGGCGGATTTCTCTCACTCACTCCGCACGCCGCATAAGCCTCAGCTCGCTAAACTGTTTGATCCTCCCTTAAGGACCGTCAGAGGAGCTTCTAAGCATATCGTTCCTGCCAAAACCACTCATCATGTCGGACCCCTCGAGCCCGTATCCCGCACTGGCCCTGTTAAAAGTGCTGTTCCTAAGACAGCGGAGGTGTCGCGGGTCGAACCGGAGTTTGAGCGCGTGCCAGCCGACTCGAGTGAGTCAAGTGCCGAGCTGAGTGAATCAAGTGAGTCAAATAGCGAGCTGAGTGAATCGAGTGCCGAGTCAAGTGAGTCAAGTGCTGAGCCGAGTGAATCAAGTGTGTCCAGTGTTGAATTTAGTCTGTCCAGTGAGTCTTCAGTTCAAGTAATTGAATCTCCTCTTCAAGTGAGCGCTGAATCTCCTCTTCAAGTGAGCGCTGAATCTCCTCTTCAAGTGAGCGCTGAATCTCCTCTTCAAGTGAGCGCTGCATCTCCTCTTCAAGTGAGCGCTGCATCTCCTCTTCAAGTGAGCGCTGCATCTCCTCTTCAAGTGAGCGCTGCATCTCCTCTTCAAGTGAGCGCTGCATCTCCTCTTCAAGTGAGCGAGTTGTCCAGCCAAGCGAGTGTGTCTAGCCCTGTGACGCGCCGCCGCAGGAGGAGAAGGAGGACTCGTTTGGTTCGCCAGGCCCCGGTGAGCGTGCCCAGACTCCTCGCCCTGCCGGCCCCGCCTCTGCGCCTCGCCCTGCCGGCCCCGCCTCTGCGCCTCGCCCTGCCGGCCCCGCCTCTGCGCCTCGCCCTGCCGGCCCCGCCTCTGCGCCTCGCCCTGCCGGCCCCGCCTCTGCGCCTCGCCCTGCCGGCCCCGCCTCTGCGCCTCGCTCTGCCGGCCCCGCCTCTGCGCCTCGCTCTGCCGGCCCCGCCTCTGCGCCTCGCTCTGCCTGCACCCTTCAAGCTCCGGGAGGCCTTTCCTGTACCCGTTCACCACCCAGAGGTTCCTCCCGGGAATTTCCCCAAGTATTTTTTGGGGGGGGGCAGTAGGTACTCTGTGGGGGCCATGGAGGTGATCCTGACATGGACCTCTGAGTCCGTGAGGGCCATGGAGGCGAGGCTGTCATGGACCTCGCCTGTGTCTGCTCCGCCCTGGCCGCCATCACGTCCTGCTCCTTCCTGGTCACCCACGCTCCACGGCCCCAGGCCTCTCCATGTGCCTGGCCTCCTGCCTCTCCATGGGCCTGGCCCTCCATCCCAGCCCCCGTTGACCTCCCCCCGGAGCTCTTAGGAGCGTCTGGAAGCCGCTCCTTAGAGGGGGGGTTATGTGACGATCAGCAGCCGTGGTGCCCTCGAGAGCCACTAGAGGGCACCCTCTCCCCATGTTTGTTTCCCCATGGACTCTTTGTGTTTCATTATGTTCAGCTGTGTTTCATTATTGGTTATTGAGTTCCTTATTTAAGCCTGAGTTTTCCCTGTGTCCCTTGCGAAGTCTTGTTACCCTGTAAGCGTACAATTCCGAGCGTTATTCCCTGTTCTGTGTCTCCGTGTTTCCCTGGACTCTTGACCCTTGCCTGTTTCCTGGACTGCTCTCGAACCTGTGCTGCCTGCCTCGACCATTGCCTGTTTAGACCACGAGTTTCCGGATTGCCCCTTTGTTTAAGTGTTTGCCTGTTTTCATGTCTGCCTGTTTTAATAAAGTGCTGCACATGGATCCGACCGTCTCTGTCCGTACGTTACACTAGATTTGTATTATTAATATTTGAACTATTATTTTGTTAAGTAGATAGATGATCCAAGGTGACATTTGCATTGTCAAGGACATTGTCAATCATCTGCATTGTGCCATCTCATGCTAAATTTAAACATTTTAACACACGATGAGATTAAGTTATTCCTTTAAAAACATAACAGGTTTGACAGTAACAGGGTAATGAATTACACATTTTTAGCCATTACTAGCCTTTTGTTCAAGGTCATGACAAGAATGTGCTTATTAGGCATACAATGAATTAAATCTTATATCTTTTTTTTAGTAATTTATTTATTTATCAGTTGTTTACTGCACAAAATCATGGTAACATGCTTCACTATTTAAGATAGTCCCCTACTGACAACAAACCTAAGAAAATATACATTAAAGTGATGAAAAAGAGGGAAAATTTACATGTGTCCATTAAGAATTTTACTCTTTTTTTAATTTATGAAATTGCCACTGTTTTGTAAACAACTAGGCTGTAACAACTTTAGACAACTACTTTAAAAACATTATAAATCAAACACTAACGTATTTTTTATTTATTTATTGAACATCTTTAATAAAGTTATAATGCCCGTACATGGCACTGTCCAATAGTAATCTTAATGGAAAGTGCTCGAGCTGTGAACTGTTGCTATGGTTACCTCCTTCTGACAACTTTTTTGATTACTGAAACGTAGTTTGAAATAATTGTTGAAGTGCATATGTTAAGTTAAAAAAGAAAAGAAGAGAAAACACACACACATACACCCACGGGGTGTTTTGATGTGAATATTTTTGGTAGGGGTCAAACATTAATTGGAAGACATTCAAGCCTTAATTAGCCCTTGCCTCCAAACGCCACATAACTCACACAGATTCATGTGCTATTGAAACCAGTCAACAGATGAATGAAAGTGGTGTGTGTGTAAGGTTTGCGCATAAACGCATCACAGATGTAAGTTGCAAATACGCGTTAAAAAGTCAACAAATCACCACTTGGTTAAAAAGAGGAGCAGCTTGTTGCTTAAATGAAACGCGTTACCTGAGTTTTGATGGGTTCTCCGTGCTCAATGATGCTTATAAAAGGAATTTCCAAAAAAGAGGACATAAATTCCATTTGTACTATTTCCTCCTGCGTCTGAGGGAAGGCGAGCACAGCCGAGACCCCCTGGACCACTATATCCTGACACACACACCTGAAGAGCGACTCGGGGTCTCCGCTCGGTGCTTCCCGAGCCACCACGTCCAGGCTTAAGTTGTACGGAAGAAAGTTGTTGCCGCTTTCGGCGAGACCGCTGAGGGCGCGGTGGAGAGCCGCCCGCACCCGGACCGACTGACGGGGAGGCAGGAGGGCACCCAGGCGCACTGTGTGTCCTATCCGCGCTAGGATGTGGCAGGGCTGCGGGTGAGAATGAGCGGGCTGGACGAGCAGGGTGTGGAGAAGGATTATTTGCGATCCCAAATAAAAGTATGCCAGAAATATGTAGAAGATGAAATTCATCCTGCTTCACTCTCAGAGGTGGTGATGAGGCATTGTCAGAAGATAGCATTGCTCGCCTTGTTGTCTGGTCTTTTCTTTAACGTCCTTTTTTTTTTTTAGGGTTTTTTTTTTTTTTTTTTTTGTGCAGGATGGTGTATGAGGAGTGATCTATGGAGTTACTGTGTGAATGTGATCCTCTGCTCAGGAGAGGTGGGGGTTTCTCGAAAGGCGGGGATGTCGTTGCGTTCACACCCAAAAGAAGCGCTGGAGAGGCGTAAGTTAGTATCATTAGGAGAGCGCGACTCTGTTTTTAACACCTCTTTTTGCCCAAAGTAATGTTTTTTTTTTTTTTTACTCTTAGTTGTGGAGAGGCAGTTACATGACATTTCCTAGCATAAAACTGCTTTTAAACAAGAAATTATTAAACTAAAAGTCTTTTTTTTTATGAAAATAAGATGCGAAAGGATAGGCCACAGCAACTGTACACACACTTAAAAAATATTCATCATCAAACTGAAAGCTTTCTCCTCCGCAGCTCTCAAATATCAAACTAATAGGCTTCCCATACAAGAACCAATGGTATTAATTTAATGCCTGGCATTTTGGTTTATTTGTCACACAAAACTATCAAATTATCGTATAGCCTAGAATTTAGAAGACTTGAAAATAGTCCAGAACTTGCGAGTGTTTTGTTCTTTTATTTATTTATTTATTTGGAGCTTGGCAGATTGTGGTCAATTCTTTGGTTAGCCTGGTTACTGTTTACTGTGAAAGTAGGGCATAGGCTAGATCTGTTAAAATTTATCAAAAAAAAAAAAAAATGCTTGGAAAAGATCTGGAACAAAAAGAGGGTGAGCAGAAATAATGAAGTATCAAAACATTGGGTAAATTATGTCTCCTCCCAAAATGTTCCTTATACCCTAATAGGTAAAAGCCCTCAATGCATTTTGCAAATATTACAACATTTAGTGTATTACAACATTCAAATATTACAATATCAAATTATCAAACCTGCAGTTATTGGAAAAAAAAACAAAAAAAAAAAAAAAAAAACAAGATGAAGGGATAGAAGTGCTTGAATTAACATGAAAAATAGAAGAGAGAGATCACAGAAGGCAGGTGATGGTAAGTGGGTCACTGTTTTGGACCCATGTATCAGAGATTCGATACGGGCCAGTCATGCAGTAAAATGGAATCTGATGGAAGTGGACTGAAGCCTCGACCAATCATACTCTCTTTTATACGCTATTTAGGACTAGAGTAGCATGGAATGTGAGACTAATGTTGAATTCCCTTTAATTATGATATTCAGCACTAAAAGCCGTATTGAATAACAACAACAAAAAGCCATGCATCTAAAGTTTGATGCTGGTTAGGCCTACTTCTTAGGTGTGGTGAATGAAATGTCAGAATATAATCTATGGATTTAAAGTAACAACAACAACAACAACAAAAACAGTCAGCAAAGCCAAATTGTTTAAAGCTGCATGGACCCTTCATATTTCTGAGTTTGATGCGCTGAAGTAAACAATAGCAGGGTAAATACATCTGGTAGAGGAATAATTTTCTTCAACAGTAAGAAGTAAAAAATCTTCAATTAAGATTCTCTAATTTTCCCACAGAAAGGAAAAAGTATGAAATATGGATTAAATCAGAAGAGGAAGGTGCAAATTTGTTGTCACTCCCTCGTCGGATGTACAGTAAAGGCCGTGTAGTTGAAGGTATGTAATCACTATGCAATGTAGTTAATACTTGTCAGCATATTGCATATTGCATTTCTCACAGAACATTAAAATAAGACTGCTGATTCATTTTTTCGGGAAACAAAACATAAATTACACTCACCCTCATAACTGAAGAGATACATTCATAGTAACACACTTTTGATTTATTTTATTTAAAAAAAAAAATCCATATTCTTCTTTAATTAACAAGAAAGCATAAAACATTAGGTCTACGAGCCAACAAATAAAAGAAAAATTGACCGGGGCAGTCTTGGCCTAATGGTTAGAGTCAGACTGGTAACCTGCAAATTCAATTCTCAATACCAGCAGGAAATGACTGACGTGCCCTTGAGCAAGACACCTAACCCCCAATCGATCCCCTGGGCGCATGTTTTGGTTGAACAAAACTTAATGTGAGCTACAAGAAAACGAGAAACTCCTGAAGAGTGATAATGCACAAACTCATGGCTATTACAGCTTGTTTTTTTTTTTTTTTTTTTTTTTTTTTCAATAAGTCCTCCCTGAAGTATATAATTGGGTTGGTGTGCAACATCACCCAGCTTGCACAAACACTCATTAGGAACCCCTACAACTATCCCAGCCAATTTCCTTGAGACCGTATATTGATCAGCGTGTGTGATCAACTGATCTGAGCTGGGTAATACACAGCAGAGATGTATCCTCGTCTCTAAAGGTGTTCTGGTAATAGGTGAATGTCCACTGTCCTTTCAACTGCAGAGGAAATGAGATGAGATTAACAGGGAGACTGTGACACAAAAGCCAACATAGGACAACACCAATTAAATGAAAGACTTTATCTCTCCAAGATGAAAAAAAGCCAGGGCAATTATGCAGACTCTGTCATTGTTTAAGTAATGTCTGAACCAAACAGATAACTCCCTGGCTGTAGTGTGCCCTTGTTCTGTGTCAATTTCACAAACATTTGATACAAAGCAGAAAACACAAGCAGTCTCAAGAGGGGGTTAATTCCTAAAAGAAAACCTCAAGAATGTCTCTTTCAGTAGGTGAAACGAGTGCGGATGAAATGTGTAAAAACGGTTGATTAAAAAAAAGTTTCGAAAATAGAAAGGAAAATCTTTATTTTTTAAAAACGTCAAGTTCAACCAAAAATACTCTGGAATAAATACTGACACAATAATGTTCTTTGGCGTCGGCCCCTTCCATAGCTTGCAATCCGAGGGTCCGGACTTTGAATTTCCTGTCTGAAGACGAAGGCAGGGTCGCAGCCGCCCCCCTGGGAGGTATAGGAAGGGACCATCCCTGGTGGTGGTGGGGAGGTTGGAAGGGAAGGAACCATCTTGGAGGTGGTGGGGAGGATGGAGGTCAATGGAAGCGTCAGCATCTGCAAACTCAAAAACGTGTAAGTACCGGTCTTTTATATCGCAAGTATTAGACACGACTGGATAGATGAGACGGTAATTAGTGACGCAACAACTGAGTCTTCCTGGCAGAACTTAAAGCTAAAGCTTCCATTCCCTTTCGTAGTCACTCCGAGTTACGTCAGATGACGGAGAATGGGGGTTTCGCCTAGAAAGCCAATCCTCTTCGAGTATTAAAAAACGAGCCAATGGCAAAGAAATGCCATGGGTCTGCGGAATTTGCATAGCGTATCTCCACCTCACCCCGTGAGTATAAAAGGAGGAAGCGGATGCAACCGCAGTATGTTTCGCTTCGGAGCCAAGAGAACTTCTTCACTCCACAAGCCACACAATCTGAGCTTACTACTGTACTGTGACTCACCTCTTCGAGATGAGCGAACTCTCTGGTGTTGTTGGAGTCTGATGGTGTTGGAGTTTCACATTGCCTGCGATCTGAGCAGTGGTCTGCCAGTGTGTGTGTTTCTCCTCTCACTGAAAGAGTTTGACTTCTTTTTAAAGACGATCTGCCCGTGTGTTCCTGAGTGCGGTATTCTGATTCTGCGCTGTTTGACGTGTTTGGGCTTTGATCACGCTCAGACAGCGCTCGTGGGTGTGTCACATTCACTCAGTGGGAACGTGATCATCGCAATGTATAACAGTTGAGACTCAATGAGCTCAATAGAGTGAGAGTCCCCTCATCCACAACCCGAACTATTTTTCTCCACGTGAGATAATACTTCGGCTGGTGGCCAGGGTGACCAAAAGACGTCAGGTCTGGAACTAATCGTCAGGTCTGGCGTTCTCATTCGGTCGCCCAGCTGATGAAATCATGTTTATCGCCGCATCACAAGGTGAGCTGGAGTCCTCTGGAGATGGCTCGTCTGTGCTGCTGTCCTCGGATGTGCTAGCATAGCGAGTTTGATTCAGGGTTTACAGCTATGCTTTAAGGCTGCGACGAGTATCAGATTTGTGTGGAAAATTCTGCCATGTCCCGAGCACTTAAAGGAACACTCCGACTTTTTGGGACTTTAGCCTATTCACCTTACCCCCCAGAGTTAGATAAGTTCATACATACCTTTTTCATCTCCGTGCGTGCTATAAGTCTGTTTGACGCACCCACCGCTAGCCTAGCTTAGCACAAAGACTGGATGTGAATGGTTGCAGCTTTCATACTAATCCAAATGAGTGACAAAATAACGCAAACGTTTTCCTATTTACATGTTGTGGTTTTTATAGTCACAGAGTGTGCAAATATCAAGGCCATATGAGACACAGACATCTTTTATGTATGAAAGCTGCAACCATTCACATCCAGTCTTTGTGCTAAGCTAGGCAAGTGGTGGGTGCGTCAAACAGACTTATAGCACACACGGAGATGAAAAAGGTATGTATGGACTTATCTAACTCTGGGGGGTAAGGTGAATAGGCTAAAGTCCCAAAAAGTCGGAGTGTTCCTTTAAGGCTAATGATTGGTTTTTGGGGGTGGCGAACCCAAAACCTTTCTTCCCGGATGTGCATGAAGAGGCTGTGAGATCGTGGAAGTCTCCTTTGACTTTTCACGATCACTCAGCGGCCTCTTCCGGCTTCTCTGACCTCATGGCGCAAATTGCATTTCCCCCAGTGAGCCTTCTCGGACATACTCTGTGCAAGATCAAGGAGGACGAGGAGCAGGTCATTTTGGTCGAGCCATACTGGCCCACCAAGACCTGGTTCTCCGAACTGATACTCCTCGCGACAGCACCTTCTTGGCCAATTCCTCTGAGGAAGGACCTCCTTTCTCAGGGACGGGGCACCCTGTGGCACCCTCGCCCCGATCTCTGGAGGCTACATGTGTGGCTCCTGGACGGGTTGAGGCAGGTTTGGGAGATTGAATCCTCCTCTCCCTCCTCTCATACCCTCTTGGGACCTCTCAGTTGTTTTAAGCGCCCTGTAGAGGCCTCCTTTTGAGCCTCTGCAATCAGTCGAGATTAAGTTCCTGTCTCTTAAGACAGCGCTTCTGGTTGCACTGGTCTCCATCAGGAGGGTAGGGGACCTGCACGCATTCTCCGTTGACGAAGCGTGCCTGGAATTCG